AACCATCACGTTAGTGAATTCTGCTTTGGTGCTAAGGCGACAGACAGTGAACTGTCTTTCACAAGCTATGCTCTTGCTGGGCAGCTGGTGCTCAAGTTCTCCTACAGCAAGAGCTGCTCCTCCTGAAGCTCCTCCAAACCACTGCCCCAGCCCTGTGTGCATGGTCGCAGGGTGACGCAGCACCTGGAGGGCTCATTTAGCTCCGAAACCTGTAAATCAAATACATTGCTGCACAACTAAAAAGATAAATTATTGGGGATTGGACTAGATCTTTTGAGGTCCCTTCCAATCCCTAACGTTCTGTGAGTCTGTGATAAATTGTATCCTTTCCCCCTGTTAATCCTGAAGCAGCGCATGAAGCCCAGATCTCCCTAGAGATGCCTGTATATAGGTCTGTATATAGATGCTTGCATATGATTATATGTATGATTACTTCATACGTAAAACATAGTACAAAGAAAGGTAGTAGAACGACGACCGCCGTAGGATAGACACAGGGTACAGCACCTGCTCCAAGAGACAGCCAGGCTACGCTTGACCTCAGGCAGACCCGCTAACTCCTCTAGACAACGTCTCGGCCGCGCTGTGAACAACCAGCAATAAAAATAGCGAGAGGGAGGGCAAGACCGAACTCCACACAGAGATTTCACGGCACGGGATCAAAAGTCGTGGTGTCAAGGCAGCTGCAAAGCGTTCTGCGCATCCCTGAGTACACCAGCACTCCAGGGGACCGTCACCAATTCCATCTCCTTCACTCGTACCCCACCACGCCAGGGTCCGACTCTGCCTCCCCTACGCTGTGCTAGGGGTCCCTCCATCTGCCTTGGCAGCACGCAGGGAGTACCGGCCCAGTGAAGGGAACCACAATCTGGGGGCACTTTCCAGCTCCCCTGCACGCTCATCCTGCTAACCTGTACAACACAACCTTAGTTCCTCCTATCCTGGGATTAAAACAAAGCTTTATTGTATTTTTTTGGTCTCTCTTAGAAAAGGAGTAATTTTTTTTCTTTAGATATATATTTCTATTTTTTTAAATCCCAAACTTCCCCTTTAGAAGGTGCTGGGCAAAATATAGGCAACAAACGATGCCATCACAAGAAGACAACAGAACAACTGAAAGGTTTTACAAAAAACAAAAAAAAGGGAAAAAAAAGTATTAAATCCATTACACTAGGAACAGCAAGAGACAGTATCACAGCATTACGTGCTTTAATAAAGTAAAGAGATGCTGCAACACGCAGTATTTGTCAAACTGACAACATATACAGACCCCTAAGGGAGAGACAGGGTGGGGGACCTGAACTGGAGTCTGGATTCTAAAGACAATGCACATGAAAGGTTTCATAAACCTGCAATTCCCACCAAAATAGTTTTTTAAAAAACCCCATAGGAGAAGGGAGGGGAGCTCCCAGCTCCAGCCTCCAGCCAGGAGCAGTCCCAGGAGCTTTGGGCTGCGGTTGGTGCGACCCCATAGCTGCGGCGCGTACTCCCCCCCCCAAGAGAAATCAGCTCCTGCCCACGTGCCAATGTGCACCAGTGGCTGATTTCAGCCAGACCCCCAAAACCATCGAGGATGGAGGAGTCTCGGGAGGGCTGTAGAGCTTTTTTTTTTTTTTTGCTCACCTCTTCTGCCAAAGCATTGCCAAATTGGGGAGGGAAATCCCTTTCACAGACCGAGGCTGACAAGTGAAAGCCAGAGATGCCGCTGGTTATCGGGGAGGGGGAGCTATAGCTTAGTCCTCAACTAAAGGTATTCCTGGAGGAAATAAAAAAACCCCAAAAGCTACAGGTCCAGATTGCAACCACTTCCCAACTAGCCAGAAAGCTAATTTGTCAGCCCAAAAATCCTCTTCCTCGGCTTATTTAAGGACAAGCCGGGCAGCGGGCGCTCCTTGGGGTTAGGAGCGCGCCCCCCACAACGCCCCTGCATGGGACCTTCTCCTACAGCCTGCTGCTGGGAGCCATCTATAGCGTGTGTCAAATGAGGACACGAGAAGCTGACACTGTGTACTTTAAGGTTTTTTTTTTATTTTTTCAATAAAGGGACAAAATGGGTGTATGAACAGGATAATGCAGACAACTGCCAAAAAAACACAGACAGTGGTTTTTTCAATAGAACTTAACAAAGACCAGAAACAAATACAATAAAAAGCCAGGTTGTAATGACCTTTGGTCATCCAAATAATAAAAAAACAAAACCAAAAAAATCCCCCCCAAAAAAACCCCAAAGAAAAATAAAAGATCAAATTCAGTGCCTCTGTTTTGAACAGAGCACATAAGCAATAATAAATAGTGACTCCCATAGTAAAAGATAAAATTTCAAGTTACGACAAACAGCTTTCATTACAGGAATAGAAAAGGCCAATAACAAAATATTCTGCATTGCCATTTACAAAAAAGTATTGACTCAAGCGGGCTTTCTCTTTAATATGCTTTGCATATGAAATTCTTTCCAATCTAAATATAAAGCACCATTTAGTTTTTGGCAATGAAAAAAACTGCAAAACGGTTTTTTCTTTTTTTTGTTTAGTTTTTTTTGTTTTTAACTTTTTTTTTCTTTCTTTTACTGCATATGAAGTTAAGATGCTGGAATGTCAGGTGATAGAAGGAAAGGGACATAAAGCACACTACATAACAAACCAACGTTATTAGCTTGCAGTACTGCATACAGTATGGCAGCAGGAAAAAAGAACGTAAAAAGATATGTACACCCCTCTGTGACGGCCAGCAGCGTGACATCTTAACAGTTTTCCCCCAGAGAGCCATTATATGGCCTCGGATCTGTACCATGTCACACTTTTTTTGTCTTTTTTCTTTTTTTTTGAAACATACAAATAATTTGCACTATATTATCCTGCCAAATTAAAAAAATATACTGTGGCAGCCTGTGGTTTTTCTTTTTTTTCCACTACCAAAAAAGGTACATCGATACCTTTTAAGAGAACAAGCAACAGTTAAAAATACAAGCTTCAATATAAATACTATAGTGCCTACACTAGATGAACATTTAATTCAAATACCATTCTAGAAATACAGAAAAAAGAGACCATAAATGTGTTTTAGCATAGGAATCAACATGAGTGTGCATTTTCCTATATTTAAGTACTATATAATCTTAAACCTTTCCCCAATGCATGTTTTTTATACAACCTGAAGAGCTGTGTATATCCAAGGCATAGAATTTCCACTACCATTTTAAAATGAGTAACAAGTCTTGTACACCACCAAGACGATGAACCCTAAAATACAGTTTCCCCCTAAACATAATGAAGTGTTGTGGTTTTTTTTTTCCTTAAAAAAATTTTCTTAACATTTATATTTAAAAAAGTTTTGTCTTTTTTTTTTTTACAAAAAAATTCTTGCACTGTAGGAGCGAAAGCAATCATTCATTTTATGTGAGTGTAGAGTCTGTTTCCATTCACAGCGCTGTAATGTCATGTCCGAAAAGATAAGCTCATTAGTCAAGTAAATGGCTGGCAAAGTTCGGGGTTTTTTTGTGTTTGTTTTTTTTTATGCTTATCAATGAGATTATGTTAGAATCTATTTTTTTCATTATTCTTGCAACTTTTCCCTTAAAGTATAGACCTGTAAACTGGGAAAATTGTACAGTGCACTTAATTGTCCTATATGAGCAGTCTTATTTTATACTCAACCTCTGTACCTTCGATTAAAGAAAAGATACAGACATCACAGGCAGAGTCAAGTGCTATTTGAACACCAACCAGGGCAGGCGCTAGCTTAAGAATAAAACAAGGAATCCTCTTCCACGTCAACACAAATAGCACACAGAGTATGGGGAAAAAAAAATTAAGGACAACTTTTAGGGAGCACAGACAGATACTGCTACTCTTTTGCTTTCTTTTTTTAAAAAATTCTCTGTTACTTCTTCCGAGCATCAAATTAAAGGCAAGTCTTAATAGTTTGTAGCTAATCATCACTGTGTTGATATTACCTTATACACCTGTTCTAGTTTTAAATGGCAAACAATACCACATTGTGCTAATAAATCACAACTTTTTTTTTTTTGCTTCTCTATCTGCTACACTCAGTAAAATATTATTGCCAGTCTTTATTTTATTTTTTATACAGTATACACGAGGTCCTAAAGTTTATAATTTGATTGTCAGCTTGACAACCAAGTGGCTCCAGATTTATTTGTTTTGGTACCAGAATCAATAAAAGATATTATTAAAAGTAAATATCTTCATAAAACAGATTTCCTTACTTGTGTATTTAATGGCATTGAAGGGCCTCTGCATGTGGTAAGGGTAGGAGAAATAAAAGTGTGGAGGGGGGAAAGGTCCTGTATTTTGTTTTAAGCTCTCTCTCCAGGAGCAAAGCAGGTTTTTAGACTAGTATGATCAGCTGGGTTTTAAAAATAATAATAATAAAAGGCAGGGAAGAATGGTGATTTAACTAGGACTGAGCGGGTCATTTCTTTCTCTTCCTTAGTTTTCTCTTTCCTCTTCGTTCTTAGGTAGCCGGCGTTGTAAGAGACACAAGACGGACTCACACACTCAGTGGGGGAGGCTCGCCACTGCGACCGATGTGGAGACAAGCTACGCGTGGAGGATGAGCAGAGAGGAGCCATCGGCATCGGCCGCGACAGATCCAAGGCACTCAGATTATTTTTGTGTGTGTGTGTGCGTGTGTGTTCTAAACCAAATGCTAACAGAAATCTACCTCTTTCTGACTGGTGGAGGTCAGCTACTTTCCAATTAAAGGCCTTTTTGTTATTTTCTAATGGGCACTCTTTCTCCAAATTGGTGGGTTTATTCTTTTTAAGACAGCAATCTAGCTAATGCAACACTTCTTCAGTGCTATAGGTCCTGTCTGTAGAGGGTTACCCAAAGTGTGTTTTCCTTCGCACGTCACAAAACAAAACTGTACATGATATGTTATTACAGGATGTATGCAGCATGGTCGGTTTTGTTTGCTCTCGGGTTTGGTTTTGTTTCACTTTTCTTTTTTTCTTTTTTTTTCTCTCCTCTTTTTTCCTCTTTTTTTTTTTTTTTCCTCCGAACAGAACTGGAAACAGCAACGTGTTTGCTCAGCAACTAATCAGGGACAATTTAAAAACAGCCATAACATACCATACATGCTGTCTAATCCAAAAATTAAAAAAAAACAACCAACAAAAAAAACCCCAAAACAAAAAAAACCCCAACATACACAACATGTAAATTATTGCACAAGAGAAAGGCTCAAAGTTTGCGTAAAATGCAATAGTATTGCCCCGATACAGATCATGCATTCAAACGGTGAGAACAAAAAGAAAATAAACAGGGTGTGCTGGTGACAAGCACTTTCTGAATATCCTTAGCTTCCATGATTTCCATCACAAGGGACTAGAAAACCTCTACGGGGATTCGGGGACAGAGTGGGAATGGGGTGGATGGGGGGAGGGTACGAATATACCTCTATTCAGTTTTTATCTCGTTATTCAAGACTCGATCACTGTGCCATTTTTTCATGTGTTTCTCCAGGGTACTGTACACGCTAAAAGGCATCTTACAAATCTCGCATTTGTAAACGTCCTTTCCCACCTGCCCGTGTGTTTTCATGTGCCGGGTGAGCTTGCTACTCTGGGCGCAGGCGTAGTTGCAAAGCTCACATTTATATGGCCTCTCGCCCGTGTGGCTCCGTCTGTGGACGGTGAGATTACTACAGTTCTTGAAGACCTTCCCACAGTACTCACAAGTGTCGCTGCGTCTGCCCTCTTTTGAGCTGGGCCTGCCAGGGCCCGGGCCACTAATATGGGGGGTGCTTCCTCCGCTTCCCGTGCCGCTGCGGCCTGAGATCCCTCCGTCCAGCTCGCCCGGTGGCGTGGAAAAGCGCAGGCTGCCATTCTCCGAGGAGTGCTCGGAGGAGGAGGCGAAGGGCGATTGTCGGGAGTCACCGAAGCTGAGGAAGGGGTCCTTCAGCTGCCGGGAGGCGGCATAGCCCGCCAGCCACTGGGAATAAACGTTCTCGGTGTTAGGCATGGCGGCAGCCGGCAGGTCAAACTCCTTCTCCAGCTTGATGCGTTTGGAGAAGGGGCTCAGGGAGCTGGGGCTACCCAGCAGCAGCTTTTTAGACAGGCCTCCCGAGGCAGACTCCCCAGGGGAGCAGCCCCGGCCATTGACTGCCCCCTCATCAATACGGTCGGACTCGCCAGCTACCGAGTCTTCGTCGCAAGTGTCCCTGTGCACCTCGGGCTCGGGGAGGTGGCCCCGCTTGTGTTTCTCCCCCAGGACCTGGTGGAAGGCCTCGCTGAAGTGCTGCATGGAGCTCAGGACCATGCCCTGCATGACGTCCGGCATCGACCGGCCCTCCTCGCCAGCCCGCGAGTTGTTCTCATGGTGGCGGGCTGCCTCCAGGCTCATCCCAAAGCCGTAGTCCGGCCTGTCACTCTCATTCAAGGCCTCCTCCTCTTCCTCCTCCTCTTCCTCTTCTTCCTCCTCCTCTTCCTCCTCTTCCTCGTCCCCGTTCTCAGGGATCATGTTGGGGTCATTCTCACTCTTGAACTTGGCCACCACAGACTTGAGGGCACTGCTGGCGCTGCCCACTAGGTCACTGGTGCCCGGCTCGGGAGAGCTGGCAGTGGAGAGCCCATCGTCCGACTTCACCGTCATGGGGGAGGACTTGTGCATGTGGGTCTTCATGTGGCGCTTCAGCTTGCTGGCCTGCGTGCAGGCGTGGTCGCAGAGGTTGCACTTGTAGGGCTTCTCCCCGGTGTGACTCCGGCGGTGGACCACCAGGTTGCTCTGAAATTTGAACGTCTTCCCACAAAACTCGCAGGACTTGGACTTCATGGGCGGCTGGGAGGGAGGAGGAGCGGACTGCAGAGGAGGAAGGGGTGGCGTGGCCAGGAACGGGGGCTTGCTGCCAGGCTGGAAGGGCTGCAGCAACCTTTGCATAGGGCTGGGCCGGCTCGGGGACAAGGGCGGGCTGGAGGTGTTGCCAGCCAGCTCCCGCAGCCTCCGGGAGAAATCCATAGCGGGGGGCTCCATCGCCATGGGGTTCAGTCGCAGCACCCTGTCAAAGGCACTAGGGTGATGGGTGGCCAGAGCCATTTCTTCCGCACCCAGGCGCTCAATGCGATGCGGATCCAAATGGTGCCTCGGGGGAGGGCTAAAGAGGGGCGGCGTGGGTGGGAAACGCCCTTCTCCCAGCCCTGACGCCTCCCTCGAGACCGAGCCGGGTATTCTGAGCAGGTTAAAAGGGTTATTGTCTGCAATGTGAATCCCGTGGAGAGGTGGCTGGGAAGGGCACTCTGCACCTAGTCCTGTTGGGATACCAACCCGTGGCGTCAGGGGGCTGCCGTGCTCGCTTTCTAGGTAGATCCGTAAGCCGTGCGTGTTCTGTGCATGCTGCAAGAGGAACCAGGCGCTGTTGAAAGGCTGTTTACAAGTCGTACACGTGTAGCTGCTGGGCTCATCTTTACCTGCAAAATAACACAACAAGCAGCGTCAATCTCCAGCCGCCCACCGGTGGGCGAGAGCTCGCCTCCCCGCCTAAGCTCCTCTCTTCCAGGACACTCAGCTGGGAGCTGAGCTCAGGCACAGGCAGGGTAACCGGGACAGGAGGCGGCGAGGGGTGCGACGGGGAGGGCCAAACCCACACAAAACATGCCGATCTCCTCCCGCTATCCCCAGTCCTGGGTTCAATACTGAACCCTGGCAGGTAAATGCAGCAAAAAAAGCTATATATAAAAAAAAAAAGATATGTTAAAGTCAATCGATGCCAGCTACAACTCAGCAGACTTTATGCTGCAAGAGACTGCTTATATTTAAACTGGAAAGTAAATTTTAAAAAGATAAATAAATAAATATCAAATTAAAAAAATATCCTTCTGAAAAGCACTCCAGAAAACCATGTACCTCAGTTCAAAGCACACACCCAAAGCATCATGACTGCTAGTAACCTGGGCAATGTCACCTTATTAGCCTCCTTATTTTGAAAGACTAACAATGCGTACAAAATTAGGCAGCATCTCCTGCTCCTGAGCAGAGATTTGACTCAGTGCAGGGAGGTGGAATCGAAAAATAAAATCAAATAAAATAAGAGCATAGGACAGGAAGAGGGGAAGGCAGAGAGAGCAGCAGCTCCGTC